AAAATCACTATTTATATTTTACAATTTATTTATCATTTTGATTAAACAAATATTTTATGATCTTTACTCGTTAAATTATTTTTTAATAAATAATAAATGATATTAAATTATTGATTCAAATAAATCTAAATTCAGAATTTATTCTATTTATTTATATTATGTATTCGATTATTATTATAAATTTACTATTATTCTAAATTGCTCTTTTCACTTTTTTTTATTCTTCAAGTTGATCAATATAATTTATGAAAATTTTAACCAATTCATTAATTAGTTAACAGAAGGCTAATAATTCAAAGTCAAAACCTTTTATAATTTTAAAATTAGATTACAATGTTTTTGATTTTTTTTGCATTGAAAATTTTAGTATATTTTAAATCTTCTTTATATTAATAATTCTCAAAAATAAAAAGCAAAAAAAAAAATCAGCTAAAAATTTAAAATATTTAGATATAAATTTAAATATATCTTGGCTTCTTTTGCATTAGCCTCTTCTGTTATCAAATTATTATTATTCTTAAAATTATTTTATAATAATTCCAATTTATCATCAGTATAACAAATTAATTTTTTCTTTTGATTTTAATAAAAATTTACTGATTTTTCTTCATTTTATAAAAGAATTAGCATCAGACTATTTTAGTAATTTAAGCAGCTATATTTTTTTAAATCAGTCAAATCTTAAATATTAAAAAAGAAAAATTAGTTATTATAAATATTAAAATATTAATATATAAATTTTTATCTTTTTTATAAATCTTTATATTTTTATTGAATTTCTTATTTATTTTAGTAAGAAATCAGTTTTTCTTTAAATAATCAAAATTTTATTGCTCTAATTTCTCAATATTCTTATTAAATTTAGTAAATTTTTTCTAAGCTTATGATTCTTTATGTAGAAATAAAGAAAATATATTATTAATCATAAAATAATGAATAAAAATAAATCAAAAATAATATACAGTTCGCGACATAAATTTCTGGAGTTTTTATTAAGTATACAAAAAAAGTATCATCACACCAATTTTTGTCTAACGTAAATAAAATTTAAAATAGCAATTTATTAGCTATTTTTAAACGTAAATATAAATGTCAAATTTTTTTGTGTAATTGTTTATCAATCACAACTCATAATAAATAGCGCTTATTTTAGTATTTGAAATAAGATAGCTAACTGTAAAAGGACTATGATTTAATAATATACAAAGCCCACCAAAATAATTAAAATAATTGGGTATCTAAAGTCTACAGTATATGATATTGTCAACCATTTAAAAGAAATGGAAAATGTTGAGCATTTGCCTGTCTTGATTATCCTCTTCTTCTCATTCCCAATAAACGCCAATATCTTAATTATCTTTTCCAAGTTAATAATGCAACAACTCAAGCTTTAATGACAACATATCAACTTGAACTGTCTAACGTACCCTTAAAAATAAACTTAATTATGTTGTTTATCAACCACAAGCGATTTCCCTTCTTAAGCTGAATCATATTAAAGCTCGTTTTCAATGTGCCATAAACCATCGCCAAGATGATTAGTTTCATATGATATTTTCTGATGAAAGTACTTTTTAAATATTCTGCAATAACTAACTTATACGTTACAAAATTAGTAATTCACGTCCATCACGTCTTATGGTAAAACATCTGTATAAAGTTCATGTTTGGATGTTTTCAGCCATCAAGGACTAATTGGTGTGGTATTATTTACAGGAAAGATAAATATTGCGAAATATCAGAATATTCTTTGATCTCAATTGCTTCTGTATGCTAACCATACTGGTAATAGATGGCATTTTCAACAGGATAATGCAACAACCCATACTACAAAGCTTACCTGTTAATTTTTTGTGATAAATAATATTTTGGTGATTGATTAATTTGCTAACTCTTCTGACTTAAACACAATCGAGAATTTGTGAGCAATTTTTAAAGGAAAAGTAGAAGAAAAGATTAATGATTAGATTAGAGAAAAAAAATACTTAACGCGAATGCTTTTTAAAGCATAATTCAGAGGGAATAGAAAAATCTCGATTAAAACATTTTCTTTAACTTAACAGATAGTATATCAGATCAGATTAGAATAGTTATAGAAAAAAATGAGTATACAATATATTATTAATTCTTTAAATATGTTGTTTTTTATATATTAAGTTATTAATATTATAAATTTAAAATAAAAATAATAAAATTTGTAATACTTTATATGTCATGATAAATTCTAGATATTAATATCATGAACTATATCTGATTCTAAATTATCAAAATCATTAAAATCTTAACTTCATCTCACTTGATGTATTTGCTATTAGTTATTATCAAAATTTACATAGAAGCTGAATTTTTTTCATATCATTTTTATATTACTTTAATATTTATTTCTATAATTTAAAAAGTTATTTAATATTAATATTATTATAATATATTATAACTAACTTATATTTTGAAAAATTCAGCTTATCTTTAAATAATTTTAAATGAACATATTTTTGTCTTTTTTCTATTATAGAAAAATAAAAAATCAAGTTTATCATTTAAAAAATTAGCTAGTTGATTGATAAAATTTAACTTATATTTTGGTTTATCATCAGTCAATTTTGATATTTGATATATTCTAATGTTAAATGGTAATTAAGATTCTATTATAAAGTAAAAAAATCAGTTTATTATTTAAAAAATTGAACTGGTTGATTAATAAAATTTAACTTATATTCTTTTTGTTTTTGTGATAATTTGAGTTTATTTCTGATATATATATAAAAATTTTTATAAATAAGCTTGATCTTTTCACTTTTTAAAAATAATTTCAAGTCAAACTTTATTTTTTTAAAACAAATTTATCTTTACAAATGATTATCATAATTAAAAAAAAATAATGCAATTAAGTTGCAACTTGTAACATAATTAAATTTTCTTATAGCGCAATTAAGTTGCAACTCAATTGTAATTTAAAAATAATTATGGAGACCATCTTTATTCTTTTCTTTCTACTATAAAATATCTATATATTAATTAATATAAGGTTTAAAGTAAATCAAAAATAATTTATTAATACATTAAATCAAAATGAATTTAAAAGTAAATTAGAAACAATTCTTTTATCATGCATAAAGATAGCATTGCAATTAGATATAACTATGTAATACTTATTTATCATTGTTTACAATTTGTTGTAGCATCATCTTTAATCATATATTAAATCAATATAAAATTTGAAAATAATTTATCAATACATTAAATAAAATAAATTTAAATTAAATTATAAACAATACTTTTATTATATATTAAATCAAATATAAAATTAAAATAAATCAGAAACAATTATTAATACATTAATCAAAATGAACTTAATAAAAATAGTTATTTAATTTAAAATTGTTTTAAAATAAAATTTTTTATACTTACTAAAAAGAAAAATAATAGTTTAAAATAATAATATAAATATTTACAAAACTACCTCACTTTTTTTAAAATTATCCTCATAAATAACTCTATTTTACACTTTTATTTTTCTTTTAATTTCTCAATTAAAAATCATAATGAGCTAAAAAAGATTGATTTCTAAAATATTTAATAATGATTTATTATTATCAAGTCAATTTCTAATACATCTTCTTATAGAAAAAGAAATAAATCAATTACTAGATTAATTGATAAAGAAGATATCTCTGCTTTTCAACCTTTTAATATATCTTCTTGTAGAAAAAATAGATTAATTGCTAATTCAATTTGTGAAAAAAATATATCTACTTATAGGCTATCAACCTTTCATAATATTAGAGTTAGATATCAAGATTTACAAAATTCTATTTTAAATATATTTTATCATTTTAGAATCTTTTTGCATTCTCAACTAATTATTTTAGTATATTTAGTTGCAATATTTATAATAATTGTATAACTTTATTATTATCAAAACGTATTTTTTCATCTTTTATTTAAAATCTCTAATTTATGATTTATCAATCTTATTAGGTTCAGCATCTGATAATTCATTCAATAGCATTTTTTCAGAATTTTTCACTTGCTTCTAACATTTTTTAATAGCATTTTGAAATTGTATTGTGCATTTATTTAATCTTAGCATTAAAATTCTATATAAATAAAAAAACAAAATGTTAAAAATTATGCTTAAAAACTATTGTAAAAATATTGTAAAATGTAATATTAATATTATAAAATATATATTGTGACTTTATAATTATCATATGATTTAAATTATACACATAATTTTAAAGATCATGTGATATATTTATGACCAATAAAATTATAATTTAGATATAAAAATGATTGGCATAAATTTTAGTAGTGGTTTAACTGTTTAATATCACGAGATTAAACAAGTTGATTATATACAAAAATAATCAATTATAAATTACCTTGCTAATCCTTACCCCCTCCAAAGATCTGCGAATATAAAAAATTACAATAATTATCATTTTTAAGAAATTGTATATTTATTTATTTTATATATTTTATATAAATAAGCATTTGTAGAATTTTTCGATTATTAATATTTTATATATTTTACATAAATAAGCATTTGTAGAATCTTCCGATTCTTAATAATGATGATATTTTTTTGATAATTTGAAATAGCGCATTTATTTGTTTACATAAAAATTCAATGTTTTTATAAAATAAAAATCTTTGCGAAATTTGCCATGATAATAATTGCGATTATTTTGCTTGTAAATCTATTAGTAATAGTAATATCAATTAGAAAAAAAAAGAAATAAATAATTTATTTTAAAAAATTAAAAAGTTCTTACAAATAAAATTCTTTAGTTATATATGTATTATGTTCATTTAAATGATATAGTATCCTCGACGGTGCCATTATAATCATTTGATCTATCATCGTCTTTTAAATTGTCATCTTCAGTTGGAATTTGTTGTGATTTTAATCATTCCTATTAATAAAATAATAAATCGAACTTGATTAGAGACTACTAAATATTAATACAAAATTTAATTCTTACCAAGAAAATTGAACATCATTTTTTTATAGCTTTTTCAGTACATTGAATATCTTTGCTATGTGGATTTAAGACAATACTACAATTTGCAAGTGTAAATGCAATTATCAAAGGCTTCAAACAGACTTCTTTATCTTCTCTAGACATAGCCTTCATGATAATTGTATTGATCATTAGAAGTCCAGTGTTATCTACTTTCCACAAACTGGTATATGCTTTGGCAACCCATGGGTTTCTCTTCCATTCAATAATTTTTATACCTGCATTTGCTTTTATTTCAGGAACTTCAGGAAATATCTTGAAAAGTGCCAGTCGTATATCTTTAGCAATAGCAATTTGACAATGACGCATTTTTTCAAGACACTAATATGAAACCCAAGTAAAAAACATAATAAATAATAAAAATTTGTAAGAATAATATAATAAATGATATCATGAAACAATACTTACAATAGTTATAAATTCTGAATAAAAATGAGAATCCCAACGATATTTTTCAATATCTTTAATATATCTCTTAGAATGCTTTTCAACGTAACTTTTAAGATGTCCTTTAAATAGCTCTACAATAGGGTATAAAGTTATCTTTTATATATCCTTAGTAATTGCGACGATACCTTTCTATTAAATTAAAAGTTTTACAAAATGAAATAAAGTTAAAATTTAAAAAGAATTATCATAAGACGCAGTATTACACCTGTTAAAGAAAAATTCATATGATTTTTTCTTTGTCAATCAGCAAATTAAAAAATCTTTATTTATTGTTTACATCAAAAAAGCAGATGACAAGCCATCTTCGCATTGTAGTTTCGATAAAATCTTCATAATTTCGTCAAGCTTTTTATCTTGTTTCAGTTGATTCTTCCAGATAACTTTGTTTTGTCCGTTTAATTTTTCTAAAAATTTCACAGAAACTATATAATGTTCATTATGATTTCCTAAATTGAGAAATAAAATAAAAATAAAAATTAGAAAATTAAAATCCTTGGAATGCATACAGGTCAGATTTTAAAAATAGTATAATATACCAACTACAATTTTCTTGTTTGTTTGCATTGGTACAATATCATCCATATCATGTTCATATTTTCTTGAAGTTTTCAAATCAGAAGATAAGTGATCTTGTTCATCATATTCTGTTTCAATGTCTTTAGAATTATTAAAATCATCATTTTCATTTATAGGTTGAGGTTGGTCATATGATTTCAGAGAACAATCATCATCATCTCTTTCTTTATCAAGATCTCTGTCATCTCGTTCATTTTGATATTTACTTAGATTGATTTCTGGACTTTTCGTTTTAAAATTTTGACGTATTTGATTGGAACTGGTTGATTGTGATCTTTTAGAAAAACCTGCAAACGACATTGAAACAATTTTGTAAGTAATAAGAAAAATAAGATACAAAGAATAACATATACTTTTGTTGGACTCTCTAATATAGATTTGGTCATGGTAATAGGTAGTTGTGGTGATAGATTCATTAGAGAAATTCTAGATAAAGATCACGTCTTTACTAAAGTTGGAAATTTAGCTAGTTTAAAATAAAATATATTTAATATATCATTGATAATTTGAATAAGTAAAACAATAAAATTAATATAATACCTTTTTTTCCTATAATTTTTTCCACTCTTAAACTTCTTTCTATTATTTTATTAACTACAGAAGGTGGACAAAAGTATCTGCACACTTCTATAAACGTGAATTAATGCTAATAAAGTCATATGATCACAATAACAAATTGCGTTTACATGACACTTAATTGTTTACTTATATTATAAAAATAAAAGAATAACAAATTTGTTTTGTTTTTAATAAATTTTTCTTCTCTGAAAATCTAAAAAAAAATGGTAAAAACCAAAGAATTAACCAATGATTTTTCAAGCGAAAAAACATCTTCGTACATTATCTTAGCCAGCTCAAAGTCCCGATCTTAATCCAATTGAAATCTTTAGGCTGAAGTCAAGAAAAGCATCTGAGCTTATAAAAAACCTCTATCTAATCTTGCTGATTTTGAATGATATGTTAAAAAGGTATGGCAGGAAATTCTGAAGCATACTATCAAAAACCTAGTTGATAGTATATCACAATGAATTCAAGCGGTGATTGTGGCAAATAGTGGTCTAACAAAGTACTAGTTACTTAACACAAAATGTAGATATTAATCGGCTTTAAATAAAAAATTAATTGACTTTTTATTGTTATTGCAAAAATATTTTAAGTTTTATATTGAGTAAAAAAGTGTGCAAATACTTTTATCTACCCTTTGTATTTCATAAAAGTAAAAGAAAAATTCTGTCTATCCATAAAAAATTTACCGCAAGTCTGTTTCGAGAGAAAGCCCAAGCCAATTTCTAAAAAAAAAAGAAAAAGAAAAAAGAACAGTTAGTATCATTCTAAATGAAAGAATTCCGCCTACCTATAAAAGCTTATCACAAGAAAAAGTCCAAGCTGATTTTTAAAAAGAAAGAAAAGAGAACAGTTAGTACTATTCTAAATAAAAAAATCCTGCCTAATAAAAGTTTATCACGAGAGAAAGTTTAAGCCGATTTCTAAAAGAAAAAAAAAAAAAAATAGAATAGTTAGTACTATTTTAAATGAAAGAATCCCATCTACCTATAAAAGCTTATCACGAGAGAAAGTCCAAGCCAATTCTTAAAAAAAGAAGAAAGAAAAAAATGGTTAGTACTATTCCAAAAGAAATAATTAACAACACATCCATAAAAAACTTACCACGAGTTTGTTTTGAGAAAAGTCCAAGCCAATACCTAAAAAAAATGGTTAGTACTGTTCTAAAAGAAAGAATTAACAACCCCACCTATAAAAAACTTACCACAAATCTGTTTCGAGAAAAAGTCCAAGCTGATTCCTAAAAAAAAAGAAAAAAGAAAAAAATGGTTAGTACCGTTCCAAAAAAAAGAATTAACAACCTATCCATAAAAAACTTACCACTAGTCCGTTTCAAGAAAAAAGTCTAAGCTAATTCCTAAAAAAAAGAAAAAAGAAAAAAATGGTTAGTACCGTTCCAAAAGAAAGAATTAAAAATACATCCATAAAAACTTACCACGAGTCCGTTTCGAGAAAAGTCCAAGCCGATTCCTAAAAAAAAAGAAAGAAAAAAATGGTTAGTACTATTCTAAAAGAAAGAATTAACAACCCCACCCATAAAAAACTTACCACAAATCCGTTTTGAGAGAAAGTTCAAGCCAATTCCTAAAAAAAAGAAAAAAGAAAAAAAATGGTTAGTACCGTTCAAAAAAAAAGAATTAACAACTCACTCATAAAAAACTTATCACTAATCTGTTTCAAGAAAAAGTCCAAGACGATTCCTAAAAAAAGAAGAAAGAAAAAATGGTTAGTACCATTTCAAAGAAGAATTAACCCGCCTACCTATAAAAAACTTACTGTAAGTTCACTTAAAAAGTCCAAACTGAATCCTAAAAAAAGAAGAAAAAATGGAGTGGCTAGTACTGGTTCAAAGAAAAATATTAAACCCACTTTGAAATGGCAGTTCATAACTTGGGTAATTAAAATTTGGATTGCTTGCAAGTGGAATTTATGTTGTCTTACTTCAGAAGTTTCCCTTCTGATCATCATTAAGCACTTTTAAAGGTTTAGAAAAGATGAAAAGTGAATCCCATCTTCATTTAGTAGGTTTTGCTTATTTTAAAAAAAAAGAAGTTGAATGATTAAAAGAAAAAACAGAATAGAAGGAGAGAGTAAGTCAAAGAGATAAGATAATTAAAGAGTTAGAGCAAAAAGGTCAACAAAGAGAAGGAGAATTTAAAAAGAAACAGATTAACCCTTACCATGACCGAAAAGAATACTATGAAAGAATAATTAAAACTGAAAGAAAAAGCAAACAAGTCCTTAAAACTGAGATGAATGGACTTTATCTTTCAAACACTCTTGACAACTCACTATGCTTCTACAAATATTCAGATTATCATCTATCATAATATCAAAATCTGAAGCATTTTCTTTAATTCAGTTGACTTTATTTTGTCCTTGGATTTCACTATTAAAACTGATTAATTGTAAAGCAATTTTACCTCTAAAATAAGTTTTTTCATCTTTTTCAATAAACTCTTCTTAGTTAAGTTAACTTTTTTTCTCTTATTTTTAGGCCATTAAAATGGAAGTTCGTGAATTTTTTATTTTTTTATATTAGTTATTAAAGCTATCAAAATAGAGTTTCCTCCCTTTCTATTGTAAAGAAAATTATGTTACAAATCTATTTTTAGATTCTAATCATTTAGTGTAATTTTGTATCAACTCCTTACTATTTTTAAATGTCAATTATTTTAGTGTAATATTTGCTTTTATCGAATTTTTTATTATGTCAAACTAACTTACATTTATAATTGAAAAATGTAGCCTATGCAGAAATATATTCAAATTTAGCAAAAACTCATTTTTCATTTTTAGGGGAGTTTCATTCTTTTCTATTGCAAAGGTCCCATATCTTTCTGTAAAATTATAAATATATTTAGGAAGTAAGTTTTTTAGCTATAGTGATGAATATATGGAAAATCAATGAAATAAATTCATAGTATATCACCTCGTTGACGTCAATCATAGTTTTTACATTTGAAAGTTTTAATATAATGTCTTCTATATAGTGTTTAAATGCCTTATCATCATCACTAATCTCCTCGAAGACTGCAGGCAGAGAAAAATAAGTTAATATATGTAATACTCTAATCTGAAAAATTAAAAGAGTAATCATATACCAGGAGTAAATTACTTGATGTTTGTTATGTCTTCCCCGTTGACCTTATTTCTACACAATTTTTCTTTAAGTCATTGAGAGTTTTAAGTGCAAAATAGTTTCGTAATTTCTGGCTGAAACTCTCAATAAATTCTGCAAGTCTTTTTGCAGGACCAGCTTTCATGCTATAACTTTGAAATTCTTCTTTACTTATATTAAGAAAATCACTACCAGCTATTTCTTTCTTACGTAAAATTTTGAAGTGGGACTCCTCTAACTTCAAGTTTTTCTTCTTCAAATATTTGATAAGCTTCTTTGTATTAAAATCCTTAACAATGTCTGATATTGTTCGAGAAGAAATTTCTTCTGTTATTAAGCTTAGAGAAGAAAGTGTAGAGGCTTGTGAAGACATAGTTTTTATATATATAAGTTTATGCTTGCGAAAAAATTTATGCACCCAACAGTAGATACAGGTAAAGCTGGTTTATGAATATAAAAGTATTTTTAGTTTCTGACGTTCAGAGAGAAATGATAGATTTTTTTGTATCAATTCATAATACTTTTGCCCAATATATATGCAATTAAGATATAGTACAGAATTATCAGATGATTATATTACATCATTACACGTCACATTTTTCAAGATTTATGACAAGAACATAATATATGCTTTATTTAAAAATAAAAAAACCTTGCTGGAAGCTAGCCTACATTACATAAAAATTGCGAATATATCGCTATATAATACAGAAAATTATTTAGGGTAAACAGTAAAATAAAAGTACTTTGCTTTAGATTCCTCAGTAAAAATATTGATAAAATCCTCATGCATATCTATTTTCATTTCAATAACGCTTCTGGCTTGAATTATACAAATTTTGAGAGGGATTTTATTAAATGGTGCCTTAATCTACTTTGAATTGCAGTCTCGAGATCACTATAATGACTATCTTTGCGAATTGTAATCGATTACATTACTTTAATATATGGAATATTCATAAGTTTATTTATAAGAATGATAAGACAATTGATAGTAATATTGTTATCATCCATTTCGACTCCTAAATGCAAGAATTCATACTGAGAAAATTGTTAGACCCACTCGCATTAAAGAACATATACTATACATACCTTATTTTGCGTTATTTTCTTTGGAAAATATTTTTGCAAAAAGTTGGCTGAACTTCTACATACCTCTACATGCTTTATATCTTGCTGTAAAAAAATTAAGAAGGTATGAGACATTATTAGCATTGTCGTCTGGTGCCAAGAGTTCTATGAAAGTGCATGCAAACAGAATTTTTAAACCTTTTCACATATAGATCTACCAGAGAGACCATAGTTGATTTTACGTTTGGTGATCTCAAAATTGTGAGTTTCTTAACCTTTTATAATATATACTTTTGCCATCAGTACTTACTTTTACAATAGGTTCTGTGTTGCAACTAGACGCTCTTTCACATTTTTCTCATATTTATTCAGAAAAAAAATAGAGGTACTAGTTAGCATGTATATTTTCTTTTTATTATATGCGAAATTAATATGTTGCATAAATCTGTCTAATGATCTGCATATTTTTATCACACAGGAGTACTGCATATAGCTTAGCAAAAAAATCTTCTGAACTGATAATTACAACTCCAGATGCAAAATT